CAGTATATATACGTTTTTTTTTTACATAAGAGCTCTCGTCGTGATAAATATATAGAAGACTTGACAAGATAAAACCACTCAATGCGCAAAAACAATATATCAAAGAAATTCGAAGCCCATCCTCAACTGATTACCATTCTTTTACTAAATAGGTTTTCAAGATTGTTGCCGATGATGGCGCTGTTTATGAAAGTTTAATTGTTGTCGTTTTTACTCACTAGAGATAAGAATATTTGGTCCCTCTGATTTTCCAAAAATAATTTTTGATCGAACAATTTTTTTTTTTATAACAGTTAATCGGAAAAAACGCAAAATTTAAAAACCAGGCTGTTACACTGTTTATTTTGGCGAGTGTCTTATAAAATCTCGATGGCAAAGGTGAACGGTGTTGAATTAAAACACCCGTTTCCGGTGGGCTAGTGTTTGGAGTTGAACAGGTGTACGCTCTGAACTATAAGTAAAATAATGGCAGCCTTTTTTTAATTTCCAGCCTGATAAGAATATACAATGTCTCAACAAATATAATCCCGCCAAATAACAATTACAACGCATGTGGAATACTGTAATACTAGATTAAGGAACATGTGTACGTCAGGTCAAAGTAAATCGAACGTTTCCGTTGCTTTGAGATCAGACGCTGGACCCAAATACTCCACTCTGCAACCTTTTAAAATATATAAATCTTCTTTATCTCTAGATCAATTCGACAAAAAATTCAGGCAAAATGTTTTTTAAAATTGTATCTGTTTTGATCGCTTTTTTGTATAATTAGAGAAGTCGACATTTACTAGCATTTTGACAACACACCTTTTCAATAAGTTGCGCCCTCTAGCCCTCTAGTGAAAATGACGTACACGTTTGTAAGCAGTGTATTTAAGTAGACAACTGTGATTGGCTGTGTGGTCGTTCGCTTTACAACAACGCAAATCCCATTTTCAGTAGTGGCGACTGCCAGTCAAAGCAATATTAATAGACACGTTAAGACCATAAACAAAGAAAAAAAATTGTATTTGCGAAACTGCAATTAGTGGCTACTTTTATATAATCTTAAATATTTATTAAATACATAATTGCGACAGTAATAAACTGTTAAAAGGTAGTTTATAGAAAAAACTAAACTTGCCTGCCTACTTAATGTTTGCAAGTTACTGGAAACACTGGCATTTTTTTCCTCGGTCTAAAACTTCGAAAGCCTTTGGTGTTTTTTTAACAATTGTTTTTTAAATTAAATTTATAGTTGGGGTATGTCGACGTCGGTTTTTAGTGACGGTATGTCGTGCAACAGTATAACAGTCACCGTATCTCCATAGTAACCGTACGTTCGGTGAAAATATGTTAATGGCGGTTCTTTAGATATTGGAATTCTCATATTTTGAACAATATCAGAAAGTGTTTTAAACGGTGCTGAACATACTTTCACGAAGACGGCGGCTGCCAGGGACGACAATTTCTGTTTTTTGTTTTTTTTTACCTCCTGCGCGGTAAACATCAACAAGCTATAGTGTTAAAACGTCAACAGTACAAGTGACCTGACATTGCACAATACATTTATCAGTTGATTTACATATTACTGTTACACTAGCATTTGACATTAGTTATTCTGAATCGCTGGGTACAGTTTGCTCTAGATAGGACAGTTTCCATGTTGAAAACTATTCGTGGTTTTTCTAATTGATAAGAACGTAAAGCGTTGTTTAATTTTCCCGCCGCTACAGACGTCTTTTTAGCTCCGATGTCGACTTTGTCGAGCGGAGCTTATCATATGACTGATTGTCCGTCGTCGTCCGTCGTCGTCGTCCGTTGTCCGTGTCAATGTTTTACTTTTTCGACTTCTTCTTGAAAACTACAAGCCTGAATGCGTTGATACTTAGTGTATATGTACCTTGGGTAGACCTCTCTTAGGTTTGTTCATTTCATGTTGATATCTTCAGTTCTCTAATTTTGATGAATATTTTTTTCATTTTGGTAAAAAGTGATATTTTCGACTTCTTGTTAAAAACCGCAAGTGCAATTGCTTTGATATTACATATATAGGTACTACATGTGGACCTCTCTCAGATTTGTTCATTTTGTAATGATATCTTTAATTCTCTAATTTTGGTGAATATTTTTATCATTTTTGGTAAAAAGTGATATTTTCGACTTCTTGTTAAAAACCACAAGTCCGATTGCTTTGATATTACATATATAGATACTACATGTAGACCTTTCTCAGATTTGTTCATTTTGTGATGATATCTTCGATTCTATAATTTTGGTGAATATTTTTGTCATTTTTGGTAAAAAGTGATATTTTCGACTTCTTCTTAAAAACCAAAAGTTCAATTGCTTTGATATTACATATTTAGATACTACATGTAGACCTTTCTCAGATTTGTTCATTTCGTGATGATATCTTCAATTCTCTAATTTTGGTGAATATTTTTGTCATTTTTGGTAGAAAGTGATATTTTCGACTTCTTGTTAAAAACTGTAAGTCCGATTTCTTTGATACTATACATATTGTTCATTTTCTAATGATGTCTTCAGTTCTTTAATTGAAATGTGCATTGCTAACAGCGGAGCTATCTCAGCCGATAGGCTGCTTGTTTTTTCTAGCTGCAACAAATGACACGTGTGACAACAATTGTGCGACAGAATATATCATTTTTACTGTGTAAATTATTTACAATGTGGTCACATGTAATAATAATGTTACAGAAATCCCCAAACCAAAACACGAATCCAATTTGCGGTATTATTACGGAGATTGTGTTGAATAAACGCGATACCAATTGACGTTGATTACAAAGTTAGTATACGAGACTCTAGGGGAAAGTAACACACGACTCTTTCAATTACAACATTTTTTTAAAAATAAAGAATGATATAATGATACAATGTGTGGGGATACTGGTTTATTTGTGAATATATGGCAGATTCGGTAGTTTGCTCTAGGATAATACACAGACGATTGAAAGCCGATATTTGTTACTATAGCGACACGTGCTGAAATAGATTACGGATTTACAGATTGATAAACAATATTTCCAGAATTGAAATACTATTAACTTTTGTATAGCAAGTCAATTATTTGCACTTTTCAAAAATAAACCTGTATACTCGTTTACACCAATCTTCAGCAAGATCTGCAGCCACTGAGAATTTAGGTCTATTTAATTTTCGAGAAAATGGTTGTTGTATTTTAGTGGATAGTGGCCATTTCTACAGTAATATAATGCTTTTACCACAGTCTCCTATGGCAGAGATATGCCATATTTCAAATTCTTGGCAGGTGACATAGGCTAATATATATATATATATATATATATATATATATATATATATATATTGTGAATTACGGGGTACTTATTAGTTTCTTGTATTTCAAAAATCTGGGTTTTCAAGAAAAAGTTGAAAATATGATTTTGTATAAAAATGACAAAAATATTTGTGAAAAATAAAAAAAAATGATATCGTCACAAAATGAACACATCTCTGATAGAAATCCACCCAAGGTACCTCATATAACATATCGAAGCAGTCAGGCTGGTAGTTTTCAAGAAGAAGTCGATAATATCATTTTTTTACCAGAAATGACAAGTGACCCCTTGGTAGGAATAGCTACGATACGTCTTTGTAGAATGTTACCTCAAAACATTTAGTTAATAATGTTCTATACAATGAAATAGTTGTCATAGTTACTGTTCTCACAAGGTTCTCGTCATATCACAGCCATTGTATAGTAATTTATATCTTGTTGAAAACCATATCAAGTATCAAAGTAATTGAGCTGGTAGTTTTCAAGAAGTCGAAAAAAAGCATTGTTACCAAAAATAGACAAAAAATACCGCAGAATATAGTACATTGAAAATATCGAGACAAAACAAAAACAAATTTGTTTTCCTCAAAATAAAGTTGATAATGTTTTGTACTGTAAGGTATTAACTATTAGTGTTCCCACAATATTCAAGTATCATAGCATTTTTTTTTACCAAAAATGACACAAATATTCGCTACAAAACTGGAAATGTGAGTATATCGTCTCGAAATAAACAAATCCGATAGAGATTTACCAAGGGTACCTTCATAACAAGTATCAAAGCAATTCAGCATTGAGTTTTCAAGAAGAATAAAATAAAATGACAAAAATATTCGCCAAACATGAAGAATTAATGATATCGTCACGAAATGGACAAACGGATAAAGGTACATCCAATGAGTTGAAAATATATAAACAGCTCCGTTCTGTCATCTATGGTGACAACAGAGCTAAACAAGTGGGGCGGTGAGACGATTTTTTCTCTCCAAAAATCATAGTGTTCAAGTCACTGAAATATGCGTTTTCGCAACAAACACGACAGTATTTCCTAAATTGCAACGATGCGGTAAATGCGTTTGTGATTCGAATTTAATGAGTAACTCGAACTCCAGTTGACAGTTAATGAAAATTCGATGCATTAAATTTGAACGTTAAACAAAACAACAAATCTATGTAGCCCGTAAGTCGATGTTCGGTCAACTTTAATTAAAGTTCGAGTTACTAAATGTGGACGTTCAACAAAAACAAGTTATATACAGTAAAATGACTAATTTTCACTTGGTTTAAATTTCACTGATTTATTATTTCAGGCATATTCAGTGGGTTTTAAGTTCACGGTTTCGTGATGTTAGATAATGTGTTCTATGGTAAATGTTACATATTCACTGGGTTTTAAATGACAAACGCCGGGTTGGGGTGCTCAGACTTGATCAATACTTGCCAGGACGAACACACAGTTAATTTAATGCGCCCTGGTTAAGATTTTGTCACTGAAACACGAATAACGCTAAACATTAAATCCGCGCTACCACTATGGTCACGACAAATATTGGTTAAAGGTGCGATGAACATTCTTCGGGTCGGTCACGTCCAGGAGTTGGTTTATTCAACGTGTCAAAGCAAAACAAAAGAAAGGGGTCGACCGAGAAACTTAAAACGGATAAATTCTTGACACTGCATATAATAAAATTCCACTTACTTTGTTGCTGCAGTAACAGCTTGTTGTATATTCTCACCGGTATGCGTGATCTGGCGATCGTGGAAATGCAAAAGAAGACGTTTCAAGGTGATCATGAGAATAAGCAATTGCCAGTGCCACACACACGCACTCTGTCTCGTGTGTTTCTTCCGGTCGGTAATAACGAGTGACAACTTCTGCAGATTACGAGTTATTTTCCAGCAACGTTTTGTAGAATTATGTGAAAATGAAATGAAAAAATCTGAAATAAAGTCACAGAAAGTGTCGGCGTTACGCAGCTCGTTTCATTGTGCGTACTGGAATGCCCAAACATGTAAAGCATCACCTGGTATGCTCATTATAGATCATGGTACCTTCAGCTCGGGATTTATTAGTTGTTTCTGTGTAGAAAACCGACATTTCCATTCACAACGGCAATACGTAGAAAATCATGGCAGCCAGCTGGTTGTCTTGGTCACGACCTGGATCTTTTGTCACAAAGTATCAATCGTGCGCTAAAAATAGCTCCGCGTGTTCCTAAAATACTAGTAGTTGGTACCCGCGCAGGAAAGTAGCGTTCTATTTGCGCAACTGAGCACAAATACGCCGACACAAATACACCAACAGCTTCAGCCACGACGTCTAAAAATAGCCTTACAGTTGATATAAATAGCACACCTTTGCAACACAATAGTCGATTTCGTGAGACTGGAATGTATCGCGCTGTTTAGGCTACACCGATTTAATTTTATGGATGACATCCGCGCGCGCATTAGTTTTCGCCTGTTCTCAAAAAAAAAAAAAAAAAAAAATCTCCTACGACGAGTCTTCACAGATCGGTTTTCTGTCCGGAACTTGCCGACTCATATTGTCGCAAAGCGCCGACTTGTCGTAAAACTCGTTTTGGACTACCTCAAAACTTCGCTGGTTCCCGGCGTCCTTTGCGAATGGCAGTTGTGGCTTGGTACGCCATGACACTTGAGGCGGGAACCAGCCGTCAGCCAAGCAGGTGGTGGCGCGTGTCTGTCCATGATGCACCGCGGTCGACAAAAATGGCCGCATCTGACAAGTACGTGTAGATAAACGCGGTAAGTTTGAGAACTGTTTACTCACATCATATTGTGTCTTCATCCATTTTTTTGAGTTGATACTTAATCTATAGTTATGTCTCGCCCTTTGAGTGGTTTGGTGTTAATTAATTCTATGTTTTATGAAAATGAAAATTACTTTGTATGACTTTTTATCGTTTGGCAAGTGATTATTATTTGACTGAAGTCGCTCGAAACTAAATTTGTTTCTGAGAATAATGTGTACAATGTTTTGCCTAAAAACTTATATTTAATTGTTGTTTATCATAAAATTATTAACAAGATGAAATAAAACTTCTATGGACCCCACAATAACAAACTGAAAATTTAATTTATTAAAATGCGTTTTTTTGTGATGACTTACATTTATGCTAAATTTGGTAATGATCTACTGAAAAAATAAGTCATCTTTAATCCCATGTATGTGTGATTAAAAAATACAACATTCTGAAAATATATTATCAAAGTTTTGGTTGTGATGACAACAACATTTATTTTGTGTTCTTACAGACAATTTTATATGTTTTTTTCATTTTTGACTCCCATGTGCGAAGCACATAATGGGAGTCTTTGCAGTTAGTGTGTCTGTGTGTGTGTATGTGTATGTGTGTATGTGTGTCCGACTGTTCTACTGCTATCTCAAGAACCATACATCGGTTTTTGATGAAACTTGGTGCATAGATGATCTGGGCCAATGCGCAGATTTGATTAGTTTTGGTAAAAATCCATGCTCGTTAATTACCTAATTTGCATGATAATTAGCTAATTTTTAGCTGTTCTATGACTGTTCTACTGATAT